AAAGTTACATTAATCAACTTACTCCTTATTGTGAAACAGAGCTTTTTAACCCACAACCAGACATTCAGCCTGCATGGAACAACCTGTTGGGACGAACTGGGAAGGAAACAAGTTGAAAAGATTGGACCTGATGTGAAGGCTACAGCTGAGGGAAGAACCGGACTTAAGGGTCTTCAATGTTCATCAGTTAAAAGAGATCACAAAAGGAAACTAAAATAATAAGTTTTGTTTTTTTTAAAGATTTATTTTTGGGCTTTTTGTGCCTTTAATTGCAGAGATAGGACAGTGAGTTGGAAATCAGGAAGAGAGAGAGTGGGGTATGACATGCGGGAATGGAGCCACAGGTGGGATTTGAACCTGGGCCGCCCGCTTGGAGGACCATAGCCTCCATACATGGGGCATGCGCACCAACCACTGCGCCACCAGCGCCCCCATTAGTTTGTTTTAGTAAGACATACATCATCATACTAAGAAATTAAGGAGTTTTGTAAAGTGGGAAACATATGTTTACAATGCCAAACCTAAAATCAGAATAAAACACATAATGAAGTACAATAAGGCTTTGAGTCTTGTACTTATCTCTCCTGAATGAAATCCAGCAGTCTTATTTTCAGCTCTCTTGTTGTCTGTAGGTTAGTTTTATTTCTTGTTAGGTAGATTAGAGGGAGGTGCAGAGAGCGACGACCCGTTTTTATTAAAGTCTTCTTCCAACTTGGCCTCTTGTTTTAGATACTTTCTGATGAGAAGGAGTCTACATGAGTGGAAACACAGTTTAAAGGAAACGCTTACTTAAAGATGAGATAAGAACTTAAAAATCTGCCCACTCAGCATGAAGATATCTCTCACAGGAAGAAGAAGGGTTTACCTCAGATGTTTGATGATAAAAGTGAAGGGTCTTTGTACTTCACAGTGAGACGAGTTTCCCTCCGATTAAAGTTCAAAAGTGCAGACGTATGTATCAGATGAAGGTCATGATTAACATCTTCCTATCAGGGTTTTAAGAAAGACATAACATAAATAAATAGTCACATTTCTCAGAAGATTTCACTCACAAATCTCTGATCCATCTTTCATTATTTTATTTTATTGTATTTAACCAGGAGGAGCATCCTGGCCAATCAGGCAGCAGCAGCAGAGTCAACAAAGTTTCAGACAAACAAAGAGCAGCCGTATACAAAAATAACACAAAAAGCTACAAGAATACATTCAAAGACTTTTATTCATCAGTCTAAGAGCGTCTCTGTCGATGGTATTCAGAGGAGCTGTTTGTCAACAGGTAAGGCAGGCAGCTGATTGGGCCCCCAGGCCAGTAGGGGGCCTCCAAGGGCTGACAAACTTTAAACCACAGCAGTGGCTCAAAATGTACAAATTTTGCAACGACAGTAGGATACCTCCCTAAAGGGGGCCCCATCTGACAGCACTCCCTCTCCTTTGCAAACCAACCTTTGTCAGAACAGGAAAAATGTGAGTTAAAAAAAAGACAGGAAGCGTCGGGACATGATGATTGAAACGGGTTGGAGGGGCCCCCAATTAACTTTTTCCTAGGGCCCCAACAGACTCTAGATTCGCCACTGATGGTATTCTATAGAAAACAGAGGTCAATGTTTTTCCACGTTCCTGCTCTGACCTTCAACAGAACAAAAAGACGTTGTTTCTCTGAAACCAGAGGTCTGGTCTGCTTCTCTGTAGCCCTGTTCAGACTGCCGTTTCAAGCTGCGATTTACGTCCCTGTGACGTTTTGTCTTCAACCTGAATGAGGCAGAGACATAATGGGGGGACCAAGTGAAACCCCTCTGAGCATGTGCTACATCATCATACAGGCGTACAGTCGATCATATTGTGTAATGTAAACAAGCAGACGCAAGACCCCGAGCAGATGTGACCACCCGAGCAGATCTGGTACCTAGCATTAGCATGCTAATGGCGCACATCCCTACATACCACCCAGTCTAAGTCATGAAATACTTCCCATGTGTGGTAGATTTGACAGATTGGAGGTAAAAAACGAGGCTGCTTTATGTTACATTTATCAGGCCGTTAAAATCATTACAAAGGTATAATCTTTAAGTAGCAGTTCATAAGACATGTGTTGTAAAATCAGAAGCGACCTGCATACATTCAAATATATGAAATCTAAAACAGAGTGTGAACACAGTGCCTGTCGAGGTCATCGGCTTTTGTTGACGGTGCTGTACAGAGCAGCTGGATCCTCTTCAGGTTCTTTACTTCTGGTTCTGAAGGGGAAAATTGATCAACATGAAGTTTAACTAAAAGAATTGAGTTACCAACACGTCCATTACAGGATTAAAGTACAAACACATCAGAGGAAGATAAGAGCGAAAACAGCTTTTATCTTATAGTGAGAGTTTAATGTTTTCTCAGCTGCTCACCTCATGGCGGTGCTGTTCCTGGTAAATTTGACGGCAGCGTACTCAGTGACGTCCTGCTGCTCCGTTCTCCTGGGGGGCCGAGCTGGTCTGGTATTGCTGTACAGAGGCTCCTGGGTTTTAGAGAAGTGTATGCTGGCATACTGAAGGTCTTCCTGCTCCTCTGGTTGTCCCTGATTAGGTGAACAAAATCACTTTGAGCTGCATATTTACCATGTGGAGGTTTTTCATTTAAAAAGTGAATTCTAGCAGAGGACCGCAACCAAGATAGGAAAGGCCACAGCAACAGCACTTATGGTGATGATGTTATTAAAATACTTTGAGTGTTGGCACACAGTGTAGAAGGGGGGATTTAACCATTTTTATTTTATGAACGCTAACAGTTAAACATAATTAGGGGCGTGGCTGAGTTGACTCCCAGGTGGGCGTGTTGTAGCCGTTTGTCAGGAGGCATAAGACCCGCCTCAGCTCCAGATTTTTGCTTGTTACTAGGTTCACTCAAAGACAGCATTTCCAATATGGCAACCACCATCAGTGAGCTTCAACATTTCACTTCAGAAACCAATGGGTGACATCACTGAGACGATGTCCATGTTTTTATACAGGAGGAAAATTCAAAGACAGCCTCAGGAATTTGTTTCTATCGGACAAATATGAAATGTTCTTTCTCATCAGCAAGTATAAAACATGCTTCATGATCAGTGTTGGCTGGTGCTTTGTACTCCAGGGTGGGCATAAGTTCTCTAAGATGAACCGCGATCTTAGTTCTTTAGCTTGATGCTAACACATGCCGGAAAATGCCAGTAAGCTAATTAGCATTGCGGTAATTTAACGATACGATTTATTTTACTCGTACTTACAGGCATATGTTTCATAAACTCTGTGGAGACAAACTTTAAAAACTGCTGACTCATGCTAGTCTGGTCTGCTGCTCTGATCCATCTTAATATACATTCAATGCTCTGAACCAGTGACGCTGCATGACTCGCTCTTTAATTCTCAGTTCATGGGACATGTCCATCTGCTGCCCCCTTTTGGTGGTGTGTAATACGCTAATGAGCACATTTTTCCTGCGCTACCTGAGACTCCTATCTTTTGTCTTGAAGCGGAGTAAATATGTGCAAATTATAATGAGAGTCAATGGAGGCCCGGAGCGCTGGAGTCTAGCGCCCAAGTTAAGAGACACGTCTCCAATCAGTAACTTTGGACAGATTAAACATTTAACTCAATAACTACAAAACATTTCCTTTTAAAATTGTTCATGTATGTACAGCCTTTATTTAAAACAAATTCTTCTTCTGGGAGTGATTGGCGGTGCCCTAGCGCTCTCTAATGACCAGCAGCTACTGTTCATGATGTCTGCAGAAACTAACGCAATGATTGTGTACTTGTAGGATGATCAGCTCTGAGCAGTCGGCTGAGTGAAATATTTGCTTGGTCAGATTATTGGACGGACCATATCGAGCACATTTACTCTTCTGGATGAACGACCTCTGAGTAACACAGCAGTCTGAATGAATCAGCGTTTATTTAGTACTAAGATATTAATCAGAACTATTCTCACCTGCTCCGTGTGTTCTTGTCTCTCTTCAGCCTCAGACGGTTCATTGGAAGCCCTCTTTTGTCTTGTGAGAAGAATTTAAAAGTATGATGAATTATGTTTTTTAGATATGACTGACTTTTAATGATTCAGTGAAACGAAGCAGCTCACCTGATCCACACGAGGACAGAGAGGAACACGATAACCAGGAGAACAACCGTGATTGTTCCAGCAACAGCCACTGATTTCCCTCCCCTGGGAAATGGTGACCAAAACAAAGCGTTCAGATATATCTATCATCAGTCTGTCCTAAGCAGAAACCTCCACTGTTGAAAAATGAAGCAGATGTTGAAGTAAAATCCTGCAGTTCTTCGAGTGTCCACTAGAGGCTGTCTGCAGGAGCACAGGAAGTCACATACACACCCATTCAAAGAAGACGGCCAAATTGTGAACATCGTCTTTTAAAAAAAACAAATATGTCTTTTTAGCTCATGTCTCAATCAGCACACACTGTACGGGGGGTGAAGGCATAGCTGACCTGATTGACAAGCAGGCGCCATATAAGGGTTTCTCAAGAGGTTTAAACCTCAGCTCCAGCTCTCAGCCTGTTATGTTGACTGAAAGTTAGGGTGAGACAGCATTTCCAGCATGGAGACCGCCATCGATAGGACTCCAGCGCCCCCACAGGAACTGATTTATTACAGTTTTAGTCGTACTAACACAATTTATCGACTATCTCTAACAGCATGTGAACATACTGAATGTGTCCTGAACCTATCCAAGTAGTTTTGGTGGGTTGATCAAACCAAGTGCGTGATTAACAGGTTGAAACGGTCAGTTTAGGTAGGTTGAGTCTGAATGATGACAAATGTGACGTTAAGTCGGCAAGTTGGGTTTCTGAATTGTTGTTCCGAGTTGAGCAGACGTTCATCTGTATTTTCCAATTGGAAGCTAATTCTTCCGATGTGTCCGACACCACATAAATGCAGAGTAGGAATGTGGAAAGTTCAGCGAAACATTTGAGTGGCTAAAAAATGGAAAAAGTGGGGAAGTTGGGTTTTTAGGTCGGTAGATACACTTTTTAAATAATAGGTGTTTTACTCACATTTGACATTTATAGAGATGTGTTTGGATGTCCTTCTCCCCAGCGTGTTCTCAGCTTCACAGTAATACTCTCCAGAGGCCGAGGAGTTGACTGAACTGAGGACGAGCTGTGCTCCTGCATTTGAGGGATTAAGGTTTAGAGGTCCATTCTTGTACCAGGTGTAATTAGCTGCTGGGTTAGCATCACTGCTACAGTTCAGAGTCACTGAACTGCCCTCCACTATCTCAGCAGAGGGACTCACTGACACAGAGGGAAGCTTTGGAGCATCTGGAGGAGGATAAAAGTTTATTTTAAACATAGAATGAACATGTAAATCTTTCAGAGTTTATTTCAGTGGTCTAAAACTTAAAATATTATAAATACAGCCTTTTTAAGTTTATTATTCCAGCTGTGAAGCATTAGTCCTCATGTCCTGTTAGAATCAATATCTTTTATTTGACATTCTCTCAGTCTAAAGCTGTAGAGATGTGAACTTCTCTATGAGTTAAAATCCTTTTGAAACAACATATCTTTGAAAGTGATAAATACTGATGATCCTCCTGCTACAGCCCTGATCTCTAACCATCCACGGTCTCAGCAGAGAGACTCACTGACACAGAGGGAAGCTTTCATGCTTCAAAAAGAGACGTAGTTTAATAACTGACCTTTAAATGAAAACAGCATTTAGTGAAAAGGTTTCTGAAGATTTGAAAGTCATTAACAGACAGGATAATCAAGGTGTGAGCAAACTATGAAACTACAGAGAAATCAGGTCAGTAAGGAAAGTCTCCAAATGTTGAATGTTGCTGTTTAAAGTGTTTCACTCACATTTCACATCAATAGAGATCCATTTATAGGTCGGCTTTCCCAGATTGTTCTCAGCTTTACATGAAAACTCTCCAGAGTCAGAGGACTTGATGGAGCTGAAGACGAGCTGAGCTTCTCTACTGAGAGGTTGATTGTTATTCTTCTTGTACCAAGTGTATTCAGATGCTGGGTTAGCATCACAGCTACAGGTCACAGTCACTCTACTGTTCTCTCTGATTTCACCAGCAGGACTCACAGTCACTGAACAATCTGTTGGAGCATCTTGAGGAGAGAAGAATAAAAATATAACTGAAGTGTCATTAGATCTGTGTTTGTATTTCAGTGTCCGCCCAGCTTTAGTAAACTGAAGGCCTTCTCTAAAGCCGGCGTTTGTTTTGTCTTTTCTGGTTCATTATAGGAACACGTGAAACGTAAATGTAATAAAGAGCTACTTCTTGGAAATCATTAACATAATGTAACCCAGGTTATTTCTGTAGTTTCATATTTACAGATGTTCCTTAAACGCATTACAGATTTACGCAAGTTCCTTGATTGAACCAACTGCAGGCTATCGGTACCCCCTGAAGTATCGGCAGAATGAAGTTTTTCTCCGTGATTTCTACAGACTGTGAAGTAAAATAGACACATAAAAAGGAAGCTGTTAGACAGGAAGATGAATAAGATACGTTCATGAGCTGTTTCCAAGAGTTAAAAAGCTTTTAGTGAAGCTGGCAGTTTCTCCAGTCACAGTGTAGGAGAAGTTCACCGGCAGAAACTCTGAAGGTGTTCTCACCTTTAATGTGGATATCCTGGTAACTTAGCTTTTGGTTTTGACATTGAGGCTCATGACAGCTGATAAAGGTTTTTTTTTTTACATTGAAACAGATAAAGGACACTAACTATGAAAAATCTAAATAAATAACAAATACACTGAGGTACATGCTGCTATGAGGCACCATTTTAATAGTTTAAAGATTCCATCTGATGGTGTGAATCAGTGAAGACTGTAAATAAACTCACACACTGGAGGAGATGGGCACTTCTCATGTCCTGATAGAGCACAGGAGTAACTGTCTGTCTGAAGAAGCTGCTCTGGTGAATAATAAGATGAAGTGCTATGTTTGAGTTTCTGTCCGTTCCTGAACCAGATGTAGGAGGTTTGACTGGAAAGTCCACTGAGACACTGAAAGAGCAGAGCCTCATGTGGTCTGCTCACCTTCACCTGGAGATCTGAACATGTGAAGAAACGTCAACTGTTTTCACAAAACATGCACATATTAAAACATGTATTTATAATGTATTAGAAACAGTGAGCTCAGAAATATTGAGGTGAAAGATTACCTGTGACTGACAGAGTGACCCCAGGTCGACCATGATAACTGTCTTTGTTTGTTATGAATCCAAACCTGTACACAGTCGAGTCTGTCTCTCTCAGGTTTGTGATTCTCAGAGTGCATTTGTTCTCATCACAGATATTCTTCACACGACCTGAATACTCTGAAACTGTTTCTACATCTTTGTAATAAAAACCATCTTTTCTCAACCAGAATGTTTTCTGAAGTGAGTTAACTTGTCTATTTATCCTCTCTGGGTATGTGAAGGTGCAGTTCATCTCCACAGTTGATCCTTTATAAGCACAGATCTGAAGAGAAGAGTAAGTCACTCTCCAGCTGTCCTGACCCTGAACCACTGTAACACAGAGCACATCAGGAAACAACCATCAACATCCATAACTTTAAAAAGAAAAAGGAAAAGTCTCAACATATAAAAAAAACGTTTGTATCCAAACAGGAAGTAAAGCACCCTTAACATAAAACAGTATAATATCTACAATAAAAGCATAACATATTTAAAATGTAAAATAATGGAACTTCAAACATGTGATTAAAGATATGATTAATCATAAATGTGTAATTGTTTGAAAGCCCTAGTGCAGGGGTCTCCAACAGGTAGCTCGGAGCAGGCAGGTTTAAAGTAGCTCACCTATAGGTTGACCGACTGTGTTAAAAAAATAAAAATAAAAATAAATCAGTGAATGTACCTCTTCCCACTATTCATATATTTGGCCCATTAAAACAAGTGTAAAGAAGTAATGTTTTCTTGGACATTGATGTGAATTCTCAGCAACATAGCTTACAATAAGAAGTGTAAAATATTCATGTTTTTTTCTTGGACCTTGATGTGAATTTAAGATTCTTGATGAGCATTGGCTTTTTGCAATTTCACACGTGTACAAACAGTAGCTTCATTCAGCTGATGTTAATGAATGCAAGAGATTTGATTGGCCACTTTCATTTTTTTCAAAGAAGCTCTCAGATGAAGAAAGGTTGGAGACCCCTGCTCTAGTGTAAAAATAGACTGTATGTTAAAATTGACGGTGCAATGGCTGCAGTCAAAGCCGAAAGATTTAGAGCGCCCCCTGCTGACTGGCTGCAGTATAGGTCAAACTCCAACCTCCTCCATGATAACAGAAAGGCCATGGGGGTCAACAATGAAATCTAAATGCATGCATCTGTTCTTCTGTTGACTGAACACACCTGAGGGATTTTTATGTTTCTCTGTACGTTAAATGTTTTCGTTAGAGGAAGTAGCGTGACGTCTTCCAGTGGATCCCTACTACGCAGACTCTGGTTGCAAATATGCAATATGTAAGCGCCCATCATGAGGATAATTTGGCTTCATCTTGTTCAACAGAAGGAGCCTGAGGGATGTTGTCCATTTGTATATACAGTTAAAGGAAGAGTAGAAGATGTTCACTTGTTTCTACAGTTAATCTGCAAGTCGTTGAGACCAGACATCATCCAGTCTGAAGGTGTAGAGAACGTTAAATGTGTTATTTAGACCTGTGAACTTTACGGTTGTAAGAGGAAGTATTGATTATCAGAGAGAAGAACGTCACTTTAGAGATGTTATATTTAGAGGGTAATCCCTCTCCTTCACCATTGTAGGATGAAAAGACAGTTTTATGTATTTTTGATGTGGCTGGGTCAATAATGCTCGTTTAGGAAGTGAAGGGCAAGAAATTCTTCATCATCCAAACATCGGTGAGTGCTAACAAGCTAACATAAGTTAAGGTTAGCTGACGATAGTATCTGGGTCTCTGTCAGTCAGTGTTCTGGGGCAGTAATGTTCGTTAAAGGCAGGAATATTTAGATCAAGTTAACACAATCTTTAATGTCATGATGAGGAGAAGTCTGTTCTTTTGTTCCCTCACAGGGACAGCAGAGCGTCTAACAGCATTAATCCACAATCTCCTCCTCTCTGGGTTTTCTTTCAAACATTCTGTAGAAGAACAACCCGGGCTCGTCTCCTCGTCGGTTAGTGCATCACATTCAACAACAACTGTCTCTCATTTGAACATGGAAAAATTAAACTGATAAAAAAACACTGAGACCAATAACTTCTCAGTAGCGTTCAGCTACAGAGTCTTTATCGCCCGCCAGGTGGGCGGTTCCATAAGCGTGTGATGTCATGTGAAAACTATGAATTGATTATTAAAGACTTTTTGCCTTACTTGGATGGTCTGTGGTAAGTTTGCTGTTGAAGTAAGTGTGAAGACTTTAAAAAAAAGCAGAACTATGAGGTGTGAGAAACAGAGCAGACACTCATACTTAAAAATACGATCTTAAAATCTGTCAACGCATCATGGAAACAAGTTTCCATCCAAAAAATGTTAAAAAGGATAAAAAATACATGTCGATAGAAACTGTATGAAAGATTCTGAAAACAAACTGCTTAAGAAATAATATGAAAAAGAGGCGATCCAACTAAAGATCTTCCTGTTAGACATTAAAACAGATATACAATGATATACATTAAAACTGTGTTTATAGTGTTTCTGAGAAACACTATAACTAAAGAGAGAGAGTGAGAGAGAGAGAGAGAGAGAGAGAGAGAGAGAGAGAGAGAGAGAGACCTATAATACGAGTGTTGAGTGACAGCAGTGTGAAAATGGTCTTCTAGTATCATAACAACGAGCTACCGCCGCCCCTCACGCATGTGCAGAACGTACGGGGTGGTTGGCCGATGGCTGAAGTCTTTGCAGTGTGTTCTAGAGCAACTTTTTGCAGATGATGTCACTTGGAAAGGTTTTTTAAATGACAATGAGACCAATTACAGAGCTGAGGGAGATCACTTTTACAACTGCTGTTCTGATAACTCGTTGATTTTAAACACACGAGAAACTAAAAAAATGATTTCTGATTTTAGAAGAAATGTAACTCTGTGCATCTTACAAGATAACTTAAATACATTTAACAAACTTGGTTGTTGTAAAAATGTTCTTTTCAAAGACAAACTGTTTGCTTACAGACGAGGAAATCGTTGGACCTGAATGTAAATGCAGTTTAGTGGCTGTGTCTGAAGTGTTCTTGTCTTTGTTTCCTCTCTGTTCAATCTGTGGTCAGGTTAGTGTGAAAAGAAGAAAACTGAAGATCACGTGTGAGTCTGTTTTATCAGGACACTTAACTGTTAAGCAGAAAGAGAACGGAAACATCACACATACATCATACAAAACTTAATGCATCTGCAAACTCTGGTTCCCTTTTTCTGGAGTGTTATCTTGTTCTCTCATGAAGGAAATAAAGACTCTTACAGCTGGAAGTTACTGAATTCTGCAGCTTTAGTTATTCAGAACTTCTCTTACTGTAAAATACTCCAAAAATCTTCACTGTTTGTGAAAAATGATGCAGACGGATGTTGAATGTGTGAAAACGTTAAAAACACATCGTAAGACTTAAAACTTAGTGAGACAAAACAATCTAATTATAGAAAGAAACAGAAGCAAACATGTCTTTAACAGTTTGCATCATATCTAACACTCAATCTAAAAAACCTGAACATTAAAGAGTCTACTCTTTTATCATTTTAAAAGCAATTTAAGCCTTATCCAAATACGTTCAGTGATGAAAGTTTTAGTGAGGATATACAGTACCTGACACAGAGAGAAGGAAGATAACCAATCCACTCACTGCTGCTTTCAAACTCATAGCTGCTCCTCTCATCCCTGTGTGACTTCAGAGTAAATAAAACACATTAACAGAAGGTCTGTACATGTTTCAATAAATGGCATATCATTGAATAGTTCTACTTACAACAGGGAGGAGATGTCGTCTCTACAGCAAATGTTCCTCTGTGGTCATCAGGCGGCAGAAGTCAAGCTGTTAAAGTTTGTCTTACTTCCTCTTCACATTATGAATATGCATGAAGTTACAGACTGGCGTCCAGTACTGACGTTATTTTAAAAAAGAATCTAAGGCACTAACGAGGTTGGCTTTCTAAGGATAAGAATATCAAGAATCTTTAATGTAACTCCATGTAAAGACACCATCAGACAGCAGTTCAGATAAAATGTGTGAGAATGCAGCCAATGAAACGTGTTCGATCAGCCGCTGCAGCAGAGGAGAAGTTACTTGGTGTGTGTGTGTGTGTGTGTGTGTGTGTGTGTGTGTGTGTGTGCAAACAGGCGGAGCTTGAGAGAAGAACCACCACTCTGACAAAAAGTTGTGTGTTGAATGTGCATTTACTCTGGTAGGATCTCAGAATCATTGGAATCGTCAAGAGGAAGATGAGAGACACCAGACCCATCGTGAAGGCCGCTATCAAAGCAACCTGGGCTTCCATAACACCTCAGCAATGCTACAGACCGATTGTCTTCATGTCATGCTGTTTGATACAGTAGTTCATGCAAAAGGAGCACCAAACAAGTATTGAATGAACATACTTCTCAGAAAATCATCATTCCTGTTTTATAAATCCTTTGTTTTGATTGGTCGTATGTAATAGTCTCATATTTTGAGGTGTTGGATTTTTTTTATTTCCATGAGCTATAAGCCATAATCATCAAGAATAAAACAAATGGTTGATATATTTCAGTCTATTTGTCATACATAAGAATATTTGAAATTACTGAAAAAATTAACTTTTTCTTCTGATTTTTTTTTTTTTTTTTTTGTTGCACCTGCAGTTTTGGGAATAGTTTTGTCTCTTGTAGTCAGTATTGCACTTTGTAGATGGTCCCTTCACACAGGAGTGAAGGCTAGCAATGAGTGGAGGACAGCTGCAGTGTGGTCAAAAGAGCATCAAAATCAGGTTGTCAGTCTGTGTCCCATTCTCTGGCTGGAAAAGGTGTTGACGATTTGTCTTTGATGAGTTATTTATCAGGGAGTTCAGCAAAACTTCTGCATAAATCTCCCCAAAGTTTCTCTTAAAGACACCAGTATAGAGAGCAGTATTAAATTGACGTTTAAGGCAATGTGCAGAAAAATAAGCTGCAAAGTTCTCCATACACTTAATGCTGAAAATGTGTGAAAAATACTTAAAATGAGAATGTTACCTGTGATGGACAAAGTGACTCCTTCATCACCAGTTAAACTTCCTCCTGTTTGGTTTGTTGTGAACATGAACTTGTAAACAGCTGAGTCTCTCTCTCAGGTTTTTGATTCTCAGAGTGCAGACGTTCTCATGAAAAAGATACTCAACACGACCTGAGTAGTCTGGGTCTGTTCTCACATCTACAGGTTCATACCTGTCTTTAGTAAACCAGAATCTGCTCTGAACTACAGTAGTTTGTTGTCTTATTGTTGATGGGTATGTGTAGGTGCAGGGTATCTCCACTGTTGATCCTTTGACGGCACAGATCTGAGCAGAAGAGTGAGTCACTCTCCAGGTATCCTCTCCCTTCACCACTGAAACACAGAGCACATCAGGAAACACAATCAGGTCAAACATGGACCACAGAACTGATCGTTTTTACAAACAAAAACACAACAGAGACTCTTTCTGCTGAGTAAATTTAGGAACTCTGAAGTCAGCCAGTGCACCTTAAACAGAGTTTAACAATCACTGATTGAAAGTGTACTCTTATTTATCATTGTTTCATAAATTAAATGATTCATACATCTTAATGTCAAAATAGACAACAAAGTTCAATCACCAATAAATTCAATAAATATCAGTCATATCATTGAATAGTTCTACTTACAACAGGGAGGAGATGTCGTCTCTACAGCAAATGTTCCTCTGTGGTCATCAGGCAGCAGAAGTCAAGCTGTTAAAGTTTGTCTTACTTCCTCTTCGCATAATTAATGTGCAGGAAGTTACAGACTGGCGTCCAGTACTGACGTTATTATTTTTAAAAATTTATGGCACTAATAAGTTACTTGGTGTGTCTATGGGTGCAAACAGGCCAAGTGTGAGCAAAGAACCACCACTCTGACATCTCAGGATCTCAGAAGGAGGCCGTGGTTAAGTTGCCACTAGCTAGTCTAGCAGAAATTAAAAATGTAACTTAATGACTTGACGTGATGCACAGTGGCTCAAAAAGATTGTTTTTTAAATACTTGTACAGACCATGCTGTTTTGATCGTTTTGATTTGCTGCCTATATAATTTGTCTTCCTCATGCACCTGCTGCAGTGAGCTGTATTATTATTATTGATATTATTATTATTAATAATATTATTGTCACTGTTATTATTATAGTTATTAATTGTATTTATTTATTTATTTTACCAGGAAAGAATTGCTTGAGATCAAATGACCTCTTTTTCGAGCAAGGCCTGGCCAAAATGGCAGCAGTAAAAAACAGAATATAAGACAAACCTAAAAAGAAAGCACAGACATGAGGAAAAAGAGACAAATACAGTCCAGAAGGTGAAGAAGAAGAAGGAGGAGGAGGAGGAGGAGGGGGATAAGATTATGTTAAACAAAAACAAAACACAACAGTGCACCACAATACACACTAAAAGAACAATTATGTGATGATGATAAAATACTATGCAGTGAAACATTTACACACTCCAAAATTAGCCATTAAAAAACTTGTGAGCCGAGTTTTAAAATCATTAATAGTGATGAGTTCCTGCAATTTGAGTGTTTTTTGAAGACTGTTCTATGCAGAGGGAGCAGAGTACATCAAGGCCCTCTTCCCAAACTCAGTACGAGTTCTGGGGACTGACGTAGATAGAAAGTCCAGAGAGCGCAAACTGTATGATGGATTTGATTTAAAAGTGAGGTAGGTGCAGAGGTATGAAGGGAGTAGTCCAGTAATAGCTTTATAAATGAAGGTGTACCAGTGAAGAAGCCTACGAGCTGACAGGGACAGCCAGCCTACTTTAGAGTACAGGGTGCAATGATGGGTGAGTGATTTACAGCCGGTAATGAATCTTAACGCACAATGATAAGTAGCATCCAGCATGTGCAGTGAGGTAGAGCAGGCATTCCTGTACAGTACATCACCATAATCTAATAATGGAATGAAAGTAGCAGCAATAAGCCTCTTTTTAGAAACAAAAGAAAAACAAGATTTATGCCTGAAATAAAAGCCCAATCTCACCTTTAGTTTCTTTGCCAGGTTCTCGATATGGGGTTTAAAAGACAAATTGTCATCAAGGATGATACCAAGGTATTTAAAAGTGGAAACGGTCTCAATAAGAGTACCTTGAAATGTAAATAGAGTGGGCTGACAGTTACTTTTGTCCCTGGATTTAGTGAAGATCATCATTTTAGTTTTATCTGCATTAAGTACCAGTCTTAAAGACAGGAGTTGGGCTTCTATTTCTTTAAAAGCAGCTTGCAAGCGATCAACAGCCTTTAACACAGTCTCTCCAAAACAATAAATAATAGTATCGTCAGCATAAAAATGGGCATTTGCATTTTTGGCATATTTCCACAAATCATTAATATAAATAGTAAACAACAAGGGACCTAATATAGAGCCTTGTTGCACCCCCTTGTGGACAGCCAAAGTATCAGAGGAGCAGCCATCAATTTTAACACATTGAGTCCTGTCTGAAAGATAGTTAGAAAACCAACCAACAGCAGAATTAGACAATCCTATATTAGCCAGTCTATGCAATAATACATCATGGTCCACCGTATCGAAGGCCTTGGAAAAATCACTAAAAAAGACAAGCACAGTAAAAATATCATTTACTATTTTAGTAGCTGCTGTGACTGTACTGTGTGATTTTCTAAAACCAGACCGATAACAAGGTAACATTTCATTAAGACTCAAGAAATCCTTCAACTGATCACTAACCAGGCTTTCTAAAATCTTGGCTAAAGGAGACAGATTTGAAATAGGCCTGTTGGGATGGCTTCAAACAAAATCAATTAGGTAAGCCGTTGCTGAGCAGGTTTAACACGCTATCAAATAAAAACAGCCGCGGATCCAAAATCAACTTATAAACTATATTTATTAATAGAAAACCTAACTAAAATAAACAAACAGATCGCTATATAATGTATATCCTAAGCGGCCCTTCGCAGTCAAAAAACTGTTCCGCTTCCCCCCTCTCACTCTCCCCTCAGGTGCCCTTAATCAACTTAAATTCCACTGCTGATACGCCGCGGCTCCGCCCCATAGAGGGAGAAATAATGCACAGATATCCACAAATCAATTAACAAAATGTAAAACCAAATTAAGCCAGAATAAACAATAATATAAACAAATAATTATGAAGTCATTAATGTTTGGCTCTTCACGATTTTTTCACTGTAAATAATTCATATGGTCATTTGGCCACAACACCTGTAGTTATTGAGGCTCGACGGTTCGTCACCTTTTAAGAGGGGAAGAACGTGAGCTGTTTTCCATATTTTGGGGATTTTCTTACTAGTTAGAGTTAAATTAAAAATGTAGGTCAGTGGCTCTGCAATAAAATCTGTGGCGAGTTTAAAAAAATAAACACCTATATTATGTGGCCCTGGTGGTTTTTTTAAATGGAATTTCTTACGAGCTTTATGTACTTCAGCAACAGTGAAGGGTCTAAAGTTAAATTCATTATCCAAAGGGGGCTCAGCAATAGCAAGTGGAGCCAGTGCAGTAGAGGGCGTATTTACTTTATCAAAAAGAAAACCAGAAGAAACAAAATACTTATTAAAACAATTGAGCATCTCAGCTCTGTCATGGATAGTGGCAGACTCTGACACAATGCAAGTTGGAAGACTAGAGGAGTTATTTGGAGATAGAGATTTGATTGTCTGCCAGAATTTCCGTGGGTTATTTAAATTTTCAGTTGTAAGGGCAAGATAATAGCTAGATTTGGCCTTCTTGACTAAGACAGTACATTTATTCCTTAAGCATCTAAAAGTAGCCCAGAGAGCATCAGTGTTCAACTTTCTTGCTTTTGCCCAATAATAATTTCTTTCTCGGATTAAATTAGACAATTCTTCAGAGAACCAGGGATTTTCCCTGCTCTTAACTTATACCTTTTATAAGGGCATGCACATTCACAACACAGCGCTGTTTTCTTTGCAGTTTATTAAAAAGGAGAGCAAAAGCCTTTTTGCATTCCCTAACCCAAACTGAAGGCAGCGCTTATGCAGCTCTCTGCTGCCCTCTTCTGGACAAAAGCAGTACAACTCTGTCTTTAATTCTAACAGAGTAATTTCCCCTTTTACATCAGTGATTTGGCTCAATCGAAGCATTCGAAATCTTACTTCATGGAGAACCCCTGACAGTTAGTGTCAATGTGAGTAGATTTAAATATAATCAAAGACAATTCATGATGTGATTAATCCTCATAGATCCAATAAGAGACATTGTGTTTTAGCTCATGTACACTGAAGCCAAACTAAAGTCCTGGTCGGCTCCTTCTTCATAAAGAACCAAGTTGACCCATGATGCTACCAGGCTTCAGGTTTTTTATTTAACTCATGTTCATTTCTGATTGATTCACTTCTTTGACGTCATTCTTACGACACTTGTCCTGCTAATAAAATAAAAACAACTTTAAAACACTGTAAGAGACACAACTGTGGTGAGGGTGTCTGTGGCTGAGTGGTAGAGTCGGTCGTCTCAATCCTCAGCTCCTGCAGTCATATGTCAGATGTGTACTTCAGCAAGACACTTAACCCTGAATTGCTCCCTCTGCTTCAGTGTCGAAGTATTAATGTATGGTATCAGCTAATATTTATGGCCACTCTACATGGCAGCTTCTGCCATCAGCTTTCTTGTACTAACTGCTGTCAGTCCAGTTTTAACGTCTTCACACTAAACTGCTTCCATCACTGTTCTTCATTCAGATTCTGGCAGTCTGGTCAGCCGGATCGGGGTGGTCCCAACAACAGAGAGGATTGTGTGGAGATGTATCATAACAACCCGGTGCTGGCCAACTGGAACGACGCCCGCTGTGGAGACAAGCGACGCTGGCTGTGTGAAAAATCTCCCAGTACTTGTTGATGTGAGCTTAATGTTTTAATGACACAAAAAGAAAGTCACAGTTAAAAGTACTTAAAAAAGTCATTCAAGCTCCTTTAAAGTCTAACTTACAATGTTTTGGTCCCGACATATTGCCAGTTAGTTGATTGCAATAAGACAGAGATCATTACTTTCCCATGCTCCTTTCTTATCAAATAGTTGTCAAATTATTTATTCAACATTTAAAGTACAAACAAAAGAAAATATGCTCCATTGATTTGAAAACTACCAGCAGCCTTCTGCAAAAGAGATTACTGTGATTATAATGTCAATAACAGAGACAGCAGAAGGACAGATTTACACCATTGAGCTGCTCGTTAAGAATAGAAAGCCTTTATTGTCATTATAAATATACAACCAACTGCTCAAACTCTGACGGTGCAACGTTCAGACAGT